CCTCCCCACCCTACGGAAGTAGTGTTTTAGAGTAAACTTTGGGGGCGGATTTATGCACTTAGAGTGTGTCACCTAGTAATAGAACCAAATTCTAGAGAACAGTCACGATGATGATGGTGATGAGAAGGGAGGACCAGACTGCATAGTTGGGGACCACGTCAGGTGGGGGGTATGGGGGGGGGGTGGGTCTCGAAAGGAGAGTAGGCTAGTGAAAACTTTGAAATCGACCAAGCTCGACAGCTGACCCTGCTTCGAAATGATCCAACCTTACTTCTGGTGTATTTCCAGTACTTTTTGTTTATATTTATTTTTGGATCAAAGTGGCTTCATATCAATTATAATCAGTTATAACAATGATAAATACAATGTATAAGTTAAATAGATAAGAATAAGGATAAAGGATAAAGCATTTGCCGTTGATCAATCCCTTTTTGGGATGCGGCACGCATTCTACTTCCATTTGTACATTCGTAGTGGCGTTTGAATGCGATGTGGCCTATACAATGACTTGCGGGGGCCAGCCGATGTACAAGTCAGTGTTTTTATCCTCCCAGACAAGTCTGGTACCAATTAACCGACCCCGGAGGGATGGAAGGCTTGGTTGGCCCGGGCGACTCACGACCCAGGATTTGATCCCCGGACCGCTCGCGTGGTAAGCGTGCCACTTGCCACTACACCACTTCCGCCCTTAAATATTATGATAATTACTTAGACTTGATCAAAAGAACCATGTATTATACCCTATATACAAGACATCTACTTCTTCACGAACCCTGTTGTGATGGGTGAATGGGCAAATCATCGAACAACCCTAACCAATGTGTTTAGACACCCAATTCTCCATATCCCTACCACCATTCGACAAACTGGCAGTTATGTGCTGTATATTTGCGAAAATGGTTCAAATGTTCATCTACGCTAATATGGAGACGTGAGTTCAAGGCCTACTTATTGCCCACGTACTGCCGACCACTTACTGAATAAATTCCAGTATCGGGTCCATGTATACCCAACAGATGTTCGATCTGACCCGTACTGAGACCACTCAGTTCAACTCGATTTTGGTCTCGTTGTCCGGATTTGTCGGCTTCGCATTCCTTCTAACATACGTTTGGACGAAATTGGGGAAACGGTAGGTGGACCGTCGTGTACTCACGTACCAAAAATTCCAATTCACCACCATTGATCCAATCGAATATCGATTTTCAGGATCGACAACCGTATCGGAGCAATCATAGGCGTGCTGATTTGTGTAGCATTTCTTTTCACCACTTACTCGTGGTGGTTTTACACCGAAAACATCGAACATGACGGTAAGCTTCATCGGCTAAATACTCATCATTATTTCATTTATCATGAGCTAATAAATTTTTTGAGCTAGATTTCTTTCTCAGAGAGTCAGTTACATGTTTTGTTCTGTTCACGCGCCGCAGAGCCTTGCGCAACAGCTGCGCACTTTTTCATATGTCAATAAGTTCGAATTTAGGCTGTCATTCACCATGGTGCGCCACCACCCCAAAAATACCTTGGGAACTCTACGCTGGCTCCTACGTGATCGTATTCGGTGTCGGATTTGCAATGATGAACGTTCACTTGGCTTCGATGTACTCAGGAGTGAGTTGCTTTCAAAGCGTTAAGCATTCGGCATCGATCAATTTCTTTTTCTGGGATGCGCCACGTATTCTACTTCCATTCAGAATCGTTGGGCATAGGAGAAGGTTTTTCCACCCAATTCAGTAATTCATTTACAGACAAGGACTGTAAGACCAGTGTGGGACCAAGTAATTGGCAGGAAAACGCCACACATTTCTGTAAAAACCTGATATAGTAGGGTACGCCACGCACTTGTCTTCTATATAGAACCCCGAAGCGATTATTGAGGATTCCGCGGCTCGCACTTGACCCTGCTCTCAAGATGGTATTACCTCCTCTACCGATGATGAATCAGTCAGAGAGCAGGTGTCACGGAGGCAGATATTGCACGGCAATCAAATAAACGCCATGTCGACAACGAACCTCAGATAAAAGATATTTTCGGAGTTGTGCCAGATGATCATCACACCTCCCACACGGCAGCGACCAAAGTTTCGATGGGCGATGAGTCAGGGAGCTTAAGCCATGCATTTGCCATCCGATGAGGATCACAGAAGCGATTGAGCACGCGAAGATCTCGAAGATGCTTAGCGATAACGAAGTGCCAAAACCGAGACATCCGTTCCGATTAAGTGAAAGACCACGCCGCAATCGAACTTTACTGAAACTCTTCGAAACTACTACTCGTCGAGGTTGACTATTCAGAGCCCCGTCAGCTTGAAAGGCTCCCTAATTTAAGAGTTGAAAAACAAAAGACAACAAATCGAAAAATTACGACATATTTTTGAGCACGAGGACCTTTTAACATCACGCGTACCTACAATTAGTATGTGTTTTTGCCCTCAAGCAAACGAGAAGATTTCGTGAAATTCCGAAACCAAAGGCCTAAGAGGGTAACCTTTGAACTCGGGGTCTTTCTAGCTACGAATGTTCGTGCGGAGGACGACCCCCCCACAGATATCGACACAATATCAGTTCTGTCAACAGATCAGCACTTGTAGCGCGTCTCCTTACGTCGGCGAATCACCAAAACTGTGTTTAAGGTGTTGGGACCGCGACGACAAGGCACCATGCATGGCATCAACACGCTTCTGGCCAGTTGCAGTCGAGTGCTGGGACCCGTTGCAGTCACGTGAGTTTTTTCCAGTAGAAGACTAATCGATTTCAAATACTGTCATACATAGGAACCGTTTCAGTGACATGTTCGGCTATTTTGGTCCGCAAGTCGTCTGGATTTTTCAACTTGGAGTTTGGGCCGTGTTACTGTCCGCCATGGCAGCTTGCTTATAAGCGACTAGTGCCTCTATACATACCTCAGCAACAACAGGAAGACTCGGATGTGGATGACGATGTCAAGAAAACCAATCGATATCGATCAATAGTTGACCCATAATCCTGTCTTCGTTATCAAAAAAACTCCTATTTTTGGAGTACGTGAAAGAAACCACTAAGCTGAAAACACTTTCAAGTGATCATTGACGTAACTGCTGAAAAAAGTTTTTTAAAATAAAGCCGTAGCCACCCTACTAATAGAGAAGCGGTGCAAGCCACGCCCACTGTGGGCGGAGTTCTCAGCATAAGCCTACTTCCAATACACCATAGGAGCACAACGCCCGCTGGCCGTGCAACTATCTATAATCAGCCTCCATAAAAGCCCAGCCGCATTCCCTATTGTTTTGGCTAGCCAAATAAGGTCATGGCCAGGGAATAACACGAGTGTGCCAGCAAAAGGTGACCGCGCGCGCGACGAGCGCGGCGAAGACGGGTCACCCTACGGCCGCGTGGTGACTAGTGACACACGTCATCCTGCGGTCGCGTGGTGACTAGTGACACACTTTTCACTTAATTTCATGAAATAAATGCTTTCATTGTTTTTACTCACTTAGACACTCAGTGTCTTCATTCATGTGTTTTTATATTGCTATATATTGTATTTGTTTATTTACCTTTTAAAATCCACTCTGGTAAAACTCAGAAAACGTAATGTTGTTGACATACTGGCGGCGAATCTTTATGTGCCTATCACCACTAGAACTTAGAAGCTGGTCAGCTTTCAGGTCTTCTATATCGAAATTATTTGTTGTTTGTAAATATTGTTGGCAATAATAAATTTGAACTCTAAAATAATCGAGGAGCTATAGGCAATCAAAAGATCATAACCCTTTTTCATCAAAACATAGATCACTATTTTTCTGAAGCAACAAAAGGTGTTCATAAATTTCGAAAGACAATAAACGTGTCTTCAGGAATCGTTAAATTAATGGATATGCATGGCCTGGAGAGGGTAATTCTCCAGTAGTTCAAGTTGATTTTGAAGTACTGAACAGCCCTCAAAGCTTATTGGGCAGGAATAAGCAAAAGACGCTCGTGTCTTTGGGGGAGGGCATCCAAAACAGAACCGATAACACCCGGACTAAGTCCAGAAAAGGGGGAAACACTAGGGAAACATTAATGGCTCGAATCACCTTAGCCCCAGTGCTGTAACCCGCTTACTCACTTTAATATACACGCCGGGCAAAATTGAAATTCATGACGAGGACGTCGATGGAGGAGAAGAAGGAGAGGGGACGGGGTGCAAGAGAGGGGATTTTGCGTGCAGAGCCTACAGAAACAAATAGTTTACTAGACACATGCAACTTACCAGGAAGGTCTTTCAGGGCGTGCCAAGCTTTTTGAAAACGGTCTTTTGCATGATATAGGGGCACATGCGGGAACCACAGAACCATGTTTAATTTTTCCTGAACGGCCCTCTGAATACCAGAAAAGGGGTCCCTAGTTCGATTCCTCGTGGTGACAAATTTTTGCATTTCGAGTTGACGTTCCAAAATTCGCGCAAAATGGAGTTAGCATGAATAATTAGTACCATATTCATGATTAGGACCGTCAGTAACCCTTACAAATAGACTTTGATTAAAAAACTGGTGAAAAAGGTGTGACACCACAGTGGGGCTGCTTGATGTCACGCCTCTCACACCAATTTTTAAGTCAAAGTCTTTTTGTAAAGGGTTCTAGGGGGAGTGCCTAGATCTGGTGTAGAATGATGGTAACATGAAATTAATACATGCTAAACAAATCACAATAGATATAGCACAGAACAAGCAAATTTTGGAACGTCAACTCGAAATGCAAAAATTTGTCACCAAGAGGAATCGAACCAGGGACCCCCTTTTCTGGTATTCAAAGGGCCGTTCAGGAAAAAATTAAACATGGTTCTGTGATCCCCGCCTGCCCCTATCGTAATAAGCAGAAATAGACCAGCTTCGAAAAAGGCTTGTCAACGCCCGTGAGAAGACTTTGGTAGAAGGGGCCTTCGTTGCGAAAGTGTAAAAGCGGAATGAGAGCGAGAAGCTAGAAACTGACATAGGAAGGAGGATTGTAGCAATGGTAGTAGGCATATCTATGCGGGAGGATCTGCACTGATGCCTCTTCGTTTCAGTCCTTATATACAGATTTCATTCAATCAATCAAAGATATCTTTAATACTAACCACCCCCCCCCACTTTTCTGAACTCCTTCAGAATGCGAAGTATGCTTTTGTACAGCGAGACGGCGTGATTTTTGAAAAATCTCTTGGGAATATTCAGTGGAAAAATTCATGGGCAACTCCCCATGACTCTTCTTCGGAAAAGGATGAAAAACAAACAATAAACACCCTTGACGCGACTTCTGCAGCGCATACTGATAGTGGTGATATCTTCAAGTGCCACACCGGAGTTCTTTTGAAGTTTTGTTAATCCACTGGGTCTTCTCTCCTTTTTTACTACCTAATCTCTTATATGTTCATATCTAAATCCATGCCAAACTTACACACATACTCCCCATTACGCTCACTACAACAACCTCAGGTTTTCCCGACAGGACTCACGAATCTATAGGATGCAACATTTCCTGAGATCATTTTCATGTCGTGGTATCATTTATAGCCCATTAGCGTAGCTATACCTCCAAGCACACACATGCAGACAAACACACACGCAGCAACAGCATAGCTGTCTTGGGCGTGGGTGAAGTTTAACAGGGCTATCTTGGTGTGCCTGCGTGTCCGACGCCTTGAGCAGGCTCTCAGTGATGAGCTGATTATGCGCCTCCTGTCTCGCCCGCATCTCTCCGCGAAGGCATTTTTCCACGTTTCCCACCCCCTCGGCTTCTTCGAGGGATCTGTTGATCAGCAGCCATCATGAAGCCACCTCAGTGCTGCTATCATTATACGTAGCCCACCTGACGTACCCACGACGTCAGCCCTAATACGACACCCATTTACTTTTATTTTTTTTATTTTTCAGAATATATGTGTTTCTTATGTTTTTCTATAGAGGTTCCCAAACCTCATTGTTATCAGTTTATCGGTTCAGGAACTGATTATCACCACAGAATGGCTAACAAATAACTAAAACCCTCAGTTAAATGGACATGGTCATATTATTCTGCCAAAATAATCAAAAAGGGTGGTGCGTCGCCGTTCTTGGAGATGCGCCATGCATTCGCCCACCATTCAAAATTGTAACGGTAGTGAGTGTGTAGGAGTGGCTTATACTTATGTGAAACAACTACGCTGTAATTGCTAGTTTTTCTGGTGAACGAGTCTATTTCTAAAAGACCACCCCAAGGATAGAAGATCACGAGACCTAAGCAGAATTCAATCTATGGGCCTTGATGTGATAGCGACGCCTCTAGCCACCGCACCATTTCTGCCTTTGATTTTAACCATTTTATCTTCTTCCTTATGAAACTTCAAATTATTTCGATGTAAAAAATCCAATATAGCATTCCCTCAGCCAATAAGCATAACTAGGGCCTACAACGAACCACAGGTAGCGCTACGCATCCAATGTTACTTCAAAATCGTAGGCGCTCATGGCCTTAGAAAGGGGGGGGGGTGAGACGTGAGACATGCAGAACAGGGCATCTAAAAACCGTTGGTAGGTGACATTAGGAATAACCAAAGTCCAAGAGAGAGGAAAATTCCAGGGAGAACAATGGTTGCTCATTTCCTCTTCGTAACGTCTTCCCATCTCTAAAGGTTTACTTCCAAGTTCTGGCTTACTCACTTCAATGCCCCCTCCCCCAACGACAACAGCGCCGAATCGTAGAGTTGTATACCGCTTATCTTTCGAAAAGATCAATAAATCGTCCTGGTATGCACTTTTATATACAGACTATGACCGCTGTAAGATTACCCAAGTAACCGCGGTGATGGACCTTAACTCCTTCCTTAGACAACTTCACATCATTGCGAGACTTTTCCTTGCAGTTAACCCCAAATCAAACTTTTCGCGTGGGTTGAAGGCCTAGGAATTTTTTCTACTAATCGCATCTCTTCCTCCTCTTGCGGGATCAGTTTACCGAAGACGGGATCGAATAAACAACTGCGTGTTCATACGCATGTCAAAGACATCACTGCCGACTCTTCGTCACTGTGGTTGGATTATTCTGGAACAGCTGTCTTAAACAGTCTGTCCCAGGGGCAGACTCTAAGCGCCTAATTCGTATAGTTCTCAACTTTCTGGAAAGACTGTACAGTTTTGATTTGTTTCATGTCATCGACTATCGTTTCTCGTCTCGCGAAGAGGGTTCGCTTTTGAGTCACCGCTGGAGCAGGGTATTTTCCCCTATCTCAGCATCCTTGCAATCAATTTTCCAGAAGAATTACTCTTGAACTCTTGAACAGTCTCGCTCAATGACAATTGCTCCTTTGCTTAACTTCATCTTCCGACCACCAAATAGTTATTTTTCGAATTTCAACTGAGCCCTTTACATTCATGGCCAGCGAACAGGATGAAAACATCGTTGAGAAAAACTTTGGCTTCTTCCTTGTGATAAATAAGACCGTCCGTCCCTTTCCCTCCTCATACTCCCGAGGTAAGCACCAGCCCTTTTGGCATTTTTCTGGGGGCCATATGCTTGAATGTTGGGGAGCGAGAATGGGTTCCCGAGCTCGACGTACTACTTGAACTCCATCGGTACAGTAGGAGAGTGCAGCGAGCGAGCGCAGAATGACGAAGTGGTGCAGCTAGGGCCAGGCAGCTACCCCAAAAAATGGTTTGCTTACCCCCGCGGACTGAGCCTTAAAGAGAGGACGGACCTGCGCTCTCTCGCTGGTCCCTCTCTTTAAGGCTTAGTCTGAGGTAAGCATCAAATTGAGGCGGTTTTAAGGACCGAGTTGAAGTAGTCCGTCGACCGTCGGGGACCCCATCCCCTCCCCAACATTCAGCATACGGCCCCAGCAGAAACGCCAAACGGGCTGGTTTGCTTACTTCCTCACTCCCACCTTTCGTTGAACATGTGTTAACGGTTTTGTCGGTCCTGGTACTATGTGACACACCTCAGCTACGTCCCGAAAATTCTCCGGAATTTCTTCCGAAACGTGCGTTGAACGGGCTATACATGGCTGCT